GTCCGTACTGGTCCATACTGGTCCGTACTGGTCTCTCCCGGGCAGGAGACGCTGGTGAACGGGGCGGGGCTGCTGCTGTCGCTGTTGCTCCTCCCACTGCTGGACGGGCGGCCATGGTGAGGAGAGGGGCTAAGGGGGAGGGGGCGGGGCCTTGGGGAGGAAGGGGCGGGGCCCAAGGAGAGACCCTAAAGGGGCGGGGCCTAATGTGTTTTGTGGGAAGGGGCGTGGCCTAATGGGAGGAGTTTGAAGGGGTGGGGCTTAATGTGGGTGGGGCCTCTTTAGTGGGTGTGGCTTAAATTTTAATGGGGCGGAGGATTGAATGGTAATTTAAAGTGGGAGGGGCTTAAGGGGGTGTGGCTTAAAGGGGCGGGGCTTCAAGTGTTTGGGTGGAACTGGGGGAGGGGCTTAGGGAAAGGGGGAGGGGCCAAAATATTTGAAGGTGTTTCAGGTGAAGTGGGCGTGGCCTCAGATCCCACCCAGGTGAGGTTTGGGCTCTCCTAAGCGAGGTGGGCGTGGCTTATCCAGAAGGGGGAGTGGCCTATCAGGCAGTGGGCGTGTCCAACCTCACCTGGGCATTACCCAGGTGAAGTGGGCGTGGCCCAGGTGAGGTCTTGGTTCTCCCAGTTAAAGTGGGCATGGCCTATCTGTAACTGGGCGTGGCCTATCTGTAACTGGGCGTGGCCTATCGGGCAGTGGGCGTGTCCCGCTCACCTGGCCACGCCCCTCACCTGTCCAGGCTCACCTGGGCATTATCTAGATGAGGTGGGCGTGGCCCCGGTAAGGTTTGAGCTCTCCCAGGTAAAGTGGGCATGGCCTGTCTGTAACTGGGCGTGGCCTATCGGGCAGTGGGCGTGTCCCGCTCACCTGGCCACGCCCCTCACCTGTCCAGGCTCACCTGGGCATTATCTAGATGAGGTGGGCGTGGCCTAGGTGAGGTCTTGGTTCTCCCAGTTAAACTGGGCATGGCCTATCTGTAACTGGGCGTGGCCTATCGGGCAGTGGGCGTGTCCCGCTCACCTGGCCACGCCCCTCACCTGTCCAGGCTCACCTGGGCCGTGCTGCTGCTGCTCCTGGCCGCTCACCTGGGCTCCAACCTGGCCGCCCTGGGCTCGCTCACCCTCACCTCCCTGAACAGGCCCCGCCTCCGCCTCGCCATTGGCTGGGCGCTGCGAGGGGGCGGGGCTAAAGGGGAAAGGGGCGTGGCTTGCCCAGGAGTGGGCGGGGTCGAGCTGGAGTTGCCCAGCCCCCAACAGGTGAACCCCAGGGAGCCGCTGCTGCCTGGTGAGGGCACCTGGGGGGCGGGGTCACCTGGGGGCGGGGTCACCTGGAGGTGGGGTCACCTGGGGGGCGGGGTCAC